GCCCGTCATCAATCCGTCGTTGTTTCTTTTCCTCTCTCCTCCGCCTCACGTAAACGCTGCTACTGGCGTTTCGGCAGCCGCGGCTGGCCTGCATGTACCAGTGACCCGCGTGACGCGGTGGAGAGAGGAAAACGAAAGGTCGACGTATTGATCACGTCCGGCCGTCATTGCAGGAACGAGGCGCACGTCACACCTAGGTACACTTTGGTGACATGAGCAGACCTCACTCGCTAGTCCGGCATATCTTCTCAACCTCTTGGACGCATCAGGGTCTCTATCAGAACGCCGTTTCAACTTGGCTTTCTTCGCTTTGCCCTCGACCCCTCCTTAGTGGCAAGAGCCCCCGTTTTCTGAACTGAGCCAAAATCCTCATTTGACAACATGTACAACTATGCGAAAGACCGTGTTAAGCTAGATACCTTGAGGACAGCGATACTGGCGGCCTCCTTGACGTCGGTGCACCCGACTCTGCACCCGGCGTACACGGAGCACAGCTAGTCTCAGCAGGGCTTCCGTTTCTTCTCAGAAATGCCGACATCAAAGGAGGCCGTGAGTGCCTCTGTCCTCAACGCATCTATGTAGCGCTACATGGTCTTCGCCATAGTTGTACATGTTGTCAAATGAGAATTTTCTCAGTTCAGAAGAGGGGGGGGGGGCTCTTGCCACTGAGGAGGGGTTGAGGGCAAAGTGGAGAAAACCTCGTTGAAACGACGTTCTTATAGAGGCTCTGATGCGTCCAAGAGGTTGAGGAGATATGCCGACAAAGTCAGTGAGGTCTGTCCATGTGACCAAAGTGTACTCATATGTTACGTGCGCCTCATTCCTGCAATGACGCCCGGACGTGATCAAGACATCGATTTTTCGTTTTCCGCCTTGCATACCTTCGCTTCACGACTGCCGCTGCACTGCTCGACTCCCTGTCACCAGGGAGGGTTAGAGAAAAGAGATCCAACAACCTCTAGAACATGAAGACGTTTATTCACCCCAAACGAGTTGTGGGGTGGGTTCCCGGTTGGGCCTTTTTAAGTTACCAGAGGGGGAGGAACCACTGGGAGAAAGAATGTGGGGGGGGGGGGGGGGGGCATGCTCCAGCCATGCCACGTAACGCTTGACTGAGGCCAGACCAGGACCCCACCTCCCGGTAAACTGCGCGTGACATGTCGGGCGGAGCTGGGGAACACAGGAAAATCTACATGTAGGGCGTTCTAGCATGATAAGCAAGCTCGTAGCATATTTCGGCCTTTTTCGTGTGTAGAAGAGTAGAACGAGCGGCGAGAATAATCTGAGAGACCCAACAATCAAATGCCCGACAACAACAACAACAACAACAGCAATGGCAGCACGGTTTCAATACCTCCATGGGGTCAACCCGCCGCCGTCTCCTCCCAGTCGAGTCTCTACCCCCAACCCCGCCGCCGCCGCCGCCTCCTTGCTCATTTCGGCTTCCCTCCCAGCTGTCCTCCTCTAGCGCAGAAACCCCTTGCCGGTGGTACTTTTCCCTTCTCTCTCCATCCCACATCAAGGCATAAAACACAAAGTCGAGAATCGAGTGAATGAGGCGTGAAGGGCGGGGTACATTATTTCCTTGCGCGAAAACTGAACAGGAGAAAAAACAGAGAGAACGCAGACTTCGTACACAGACAAACAGCAGTCGTGTGTGGATGTTGTGCAAGCTGACGTCACTGCATCCCCACTACTAGCGTAAGGATATCAACGTCTCCTGGGGGCGGGGGGGGCAACCTAGGTGCAAGTCCTCATCGGATGACATGTGCTGTTGAAACAGAGGACAATATGGTGGCTGAAAAAGGCGAGCGGGATATCTCAAATTATCCTCCCTGATAGATACTTTATGCCGTTCTCCAGCGCTGCCTGGTGTATTCTTCTTCCAACACTTATTGTCGGACGCCTAAAAAAGCTTCAAGTAGCTGGCGAGAATCTGGAAGGCACTCCCATTCCCTCCCCATTGTTGCCATCTTTAACGCTTAAAACCGCACCAGTCTCTGCTTAAGTAGAAAATGGAGCCTTCTAACGCCCATACCGGTTTAGCTGACAGAAAGACGCCTGCCGTGTCCACAATCCATCTACCACACCAAGGGTACACACACGTCAATAAAACAAGGACCCATCGAAATTATCACACACGCGATCATAGAACAAAGCGAGGAAATTGACCAACGAACACAAAGGCGCCAGAATGCCAGACGTCGCCGAAGACACACTTGACATGGGCACTACAATTCAGAAATGCAAAGAAAAAAAAACGAGCCCGATGGCCGTTAGCATGGTAGCCACCCAGAAGAAGTGAGGAGGGTCATCTACGGAGACGGAATGTTCCGTGGAAAATTCCGTTCTTCTCAGGGGGTGTGTAACTTGTGCATTAGAGGACATGGGCCACCTACGACCACATCGTTGCTACAGACTCTGGAGTGCCACCCTTTTTTTGGAGATGGAATCTTCCGTGGAATGTTCCGGTCATTGCAGGCGGTATACCTCGTGTGCTAGAGGACATGCGGGGTCCCTTTCAGTTTTGTGCTTCGCGTACGTGTGAGCCCACTCTGGAGGGTCTATTGTTGAAGAGGTGCATACCTGACACTATCGTCCTGGAGGATCTGGTACGCTTCGCTCACCCGCTTGAACCGGTCCTGCCGAGCCCGGCAGCAACAGCAGCGATCGAACACGTAAAAAGAACAAGCAGATTGTTAGTAGACCAACAAAAAAATGTCAATGAAAGAGGGAAGCGCGTCTGCACAGACGTCATCAGGATGAAACCACGACCATTTCTGGCACTAAGTTTGGCACAAAAAAAATGTGTCCCTCACACTGCCTTTTTTTGGGAGCATAAACTTGCGAGAAAAGTTGAAGTTTTGGGGCCCCTTTTGGTCGGGCTTTTGTTGAAACTACTTTCATTGTTATTTATTGCACGCTCACTGGGGCGAAGAAAATTTCTTCACGGGACTGGTGGGAAGCGGAGGCACGAGATCATTTGTTGTTTATTGAGTAACGGCGAGAAGCGGGCACACCCCACATCGCGAAACCTGCCAAAGCGTGCAACAAAAAGCTTGGCAAACGAGTTGGTGGCACAAAACCTGGCGTTATGCCCTCCAATCGAAGGCAGGAAGACCTAAATCATGCTCACATCCAACACAAATTGTTGACGCAGACTCTACAAACATGTGTTGTCTACGTACTCTACACAGCTGCGGCCATCGCAGGCAATTCCAACTCGTCGATCAAGTATGCTGACTTGGCCGTTTATCTATCGCGTGAGTCGTGCGCGTGTGCGTGGTGGGAGAGGGTCGACGTGTGTGGTAGGTTGTGCTTGACGTGGATTGGCGGGAAGTCTGATTACCGTACGGTTGCGAGTCAGCGCACACGGGTGCCAACGATTTTCAAAGCGTAATTTTCTCCACAACCAGGAGGTTAGAATACCACTGCTGTCGAAAAGGGCGGTCATGGAAATATGTCATCGAGAGCTTTCCTGAGAAGTATTGGTTGGCGCTCGCACCCTCCTGGTTGTGGAGAAAATAAGCTTTGAAAATCAATCGCACCCCTGTGCGTTGACTCGCAACCTTACGGTAGTGGGAAGTCTCGGCGAGAAATTGGTACCGTTGATCGACACTTTTGACACAAGAAAATTTTGCAAACTTTGCTCCGGATCGCGCGATTATTGTCAAAAGGAAAAGTTTCCAAAATGTTGGCGCAACTTTTTACTCCCGAAAATAGCGTACATGAGAAAAGTTTGCAACCATAAACTTTTCTCGCAACTTTATGCATGCTCCCAAAAAAAGCGGTGGCAAGGGTAAGACAAGTTATGACACATCGCCGTAATCGTTGTGCCGAAAAGGTTAAAAGTCTCAGCGGAAGAGCGGTTGGGGGTATAAGGCACTGACCTCAGATTGCGAATCTCCGGGCTTCTTGTCTGGGTGATGCTGCACAGCCAGGCGGTAGTAAGCCTTCTTGATCTCCCTGAGAAACACCAAGCCCATCCCAGAAGAAAGCAGGGACCATCCAACGAATCGATAGCAGCAGCAACAGCAATAGCAACAACAACAGGAACAGAAGCACCGGCATCAGCAACCAGACGCACGGTAGTTATGCCAAACAGAAAAACACCATCCAATGCCCCACGCGGAGAGGCCGATTTCGTGCAACATAGAGCACCCAAAACACGCGCCCGGTATCGGTTTGGCCTGTTGGATCCGAAACGGTTGCTCTCCCTTGTCCGAGAAACGAGAAAGGAGTCGACTTCACTACCAAAGCTTCACTGCTGTATCCTCCCAAGTTACTCATCGCATTGTCAGTAACAAACGTGAGCCAGACCTGCGGAGATTTTGCTGGTTGCCTGTCCCTGCTGCTTTCAGGACGCTTGGCAAGAAAGAGTCATATTTGGTTTTGGATGTTTGGATCATTTGTCTATTGTTGCTGCTCTGCTGTATCTGGTCGTGCGCCCCCCCCCGTCGTTTCCTTGGACACATACTCCCACTTCCCGCTCATTGGCTAGGGCACCTGCGCAGCTGGCGAGCTTCCCGACCTCTCATCTGCATGCTAACCAACAACAGCGGTCGCACACCCTTCATCGGTGTGGCATGCTTCACCGGAATACCAAACTCCACATTTGTGGCCCTCCATGTTGTGCAATAAAGTACGTTTTTTTTGGCCCAGCTGCGAACCTATTTACCATCTCCTTACGGACAGCAGTCGGTTCTGCACATCACGATGCGCCACGTAAGGCCGTACCTGGCGGTAGCTCCCCAGTGCACCTCCAGCTCATCGTAGAGAACGCCGTCTCGGGGGGGGGTTCGAGCGTACGCAGGCGGCGTCGCCCCCTTGCCGCCCCCTCTTCCCCCCTGCCCCCCGCCGCCTCTCAAACCCCACGGGGTTGGGACCACGGTTCCTCCTGCACGATTTTATTGTGGTATGGTAAAAAAGGTTTACGGTACGGTTGACCACTATTTACCACACAGAAAGATGATGGTGTCGGACGATGGATCTCGATGTGGTTTGATGTGTTCGTGGAACGTACGGATCGACTGTGCACGAGCGAAACGATGCAAGGACGGTTCATCAAACCGCTTTCCACGCCGCTCCTCCTCCCCCTCGCCAAAACACAGGCAGCAACGTACCGTAGGCTGCATAAGATATCACGTCCCCTGGGCCAATTTTCGAAGCTCGGTATCTCGGCAAGAAAAGCAGCGATGGTGCTGAAAATGGCGGCATTGGAACCGTTTCGTCGAGAGCTTTCCGAAATCGTATACTTCAATTTCGGCATCCTCTTCTTCGTGGGGTAATCGAGCTTGGAGAATCGGTCCACGGGGTGTGATATCTTACGCAACCTACGGTAGCAGCCACGTACACCGCATGCCATCCCAAGCGTGTGTGGTCACCAGAATTTTCTACACACCTGCAAGATACAAAGTTCGACGGAGGTAGGAGCTTGCGAAGTGCCAGCAAGAGATACACGGAGGAACCCCGACAAGTAGGCAAGTACATCTACGTCCTTTCGGCAGGCCAGGCGTGTCTGGAGATTGTTGTCTGTTGTTGCCTGCACATACAAAAACATAACAAAAATTGTGTCAGGAACTTGCCTGAAACAGAAGTTGTAGAGGTAGGAACTACGTACCTGAGGTACCACTCGACCACGTCGAAGCAGCAGCAGCAGTGCTAGTAGCGGCAGCAGTAGGGTGGGCAACGACGGCCAACACCAGCACCACCGCCGCCAGCGTAGCAGAAGCAACACTAACTACCACAGTCGCACGTCGAGCCGTTGCGCTCAGCGGCCGCGGGCGTCGGCGTCGGCGGCAGCACGTTTGGTGGACAGCCTGGCGTAAGGAAAAAAAAAAACGGCAAATGGCGCGCGGGTCGGGTGTACTCATGTTTATGCATGCCTTAGCGGTTAGACCATTTTACCAGGACGGAGTTGTTGTTCCCACAGGACAGATCACCGATGGCCAATCCGTTCCTTCCTACTTCGAGCATGACGGAGTGGCGCAGAAAAAAAAAAATAAATAAATAGCACCTCTTGTCGCAGACGTGGACGCCTACCCGCATGAAACCCAACCAAGCAACAAATACCAAAAAAGGAAAGGGGTGAGAACCGAACGAGCGAGGGGTGGACCCTACCCTCTACCCGTCGGGCGGTACTAGGCTACTTGCCGGCTAGTTTCAACAAACGTGACGGTCGTCGGGGCTAGCCACGCCCCTAGACTAAGCGGCGGACCCGGTGCTAATTTAGCCAAACGAGAAAGTGTAGTTTTTCTGTGATTGTATGGGTGTTTTCCAAAAAGAAGTGGTGCTGTTCTTGCTAGGTAGGCACAACACGAAATACGGCCACAAGGGGGTTGGTAATGCTGTTCTCACTACAAGATAAGCACAGCAAGAACAAACGGCCGCATGTTGCTCTTCTCGACTACCGCCAACGAGTTGCGCTGTCTCGATCTACGGCGATCGGAGATGGCGACACTTCTTGAGACTTGCCACTGCTACAAAAAGCAGACGAGATCACGCTGACCGTCTTGTCTCGGAGCTTTTGTGGCGGTCGAGCTGGATCTCTCGCTGAGGGACTGGACGGACTGCTGCTGTGGTGGCTGCAAGGAAGTGCCGACGAATGCCTACCCCCAAGTGCCAACGAACTGCACGATACCGCAGAGGTACTGGTGTACGGGGAAAATCTGGAAAGGTGGCCGTCCCGTTCTCTTCAAACGCCGTTCATGATCGGGCTGCTACCGAGAGCTTTCCCGCAACAAGTCTGGCAGGCGCCAGAACGCTGCTATCCGATAGACACACTCTGCATCCTCATCTCCGATTACAGGTGGATCAGTATCGTCTCCCACCCGCGGGGCCGTCAACGAAACACAGAACCAATCGACAACAGAGTCGCACGGGAACCTTCTCGAACACGTGGTGGGAACAAGCTTCGAGCGTGAGATGTTTGCAGTTTTGTGGGTGTGGCCTTCGATATTTGACGTGCTCATTGATTTCTACCCCGCCTCCTTTGCTCCTGCTCTCGAACGGCGGCGGTGCTGTGGATGGGCAAGACTCACCGGATCTGAGAAAGAGGAACTCGTTCTGTACTCTGTACATGTATACATCTAAAAGAGCCGAGCCTGTTGAGTAAGACCTCCTTATCTTTCGGTCCCCCGAAAGAGTGTGGCCAACCCACACAGGCGATACTATGTGTATATCTACATGTGTACTTGTCGCACGGCTTCCGTGCAAATCCACGCTAGGACAGTACAAAGCAGCGGTGCACCAAACTGCGCCGTACGGTACGCCACCTGGATTCCTGCGGTGCAAGAGCCTTTGGTATGTTTTACACTCTACACGCTTTCTTCATCTGCAGGGGACAGGGATTGCCAATGCACTCCTGAAGCAGGTCAGAATCAGTCTCAAGTCCAGGCCCGCATCGTGCATCTCGTCTCTGCACAAGAGCTGCTGTGGTACGAACTTACCCGATCATTGCCGTCTGCAAGATGGGTCCCATGATGTCGTGGATTGTCCATGCCTCGCATCATGCGGCACCTCCCCCCCTGCGGCAAGAGCAACTAGCCCCTGTGCTTTGCTCTCGAAACCACAGCACAAAGGAAGCCGTAGCAAATCTCCCGTTCTCCGTCCACCCAAGGATCTCCGTCCTGACTCTACCCCCCAAAGAGCGTGAGAGCTGTGCCGAGCTGCCCAGCAGAGGCAACGGGCGGTGTTTATTTCGGCAAAGGCCCAACGGACACAGCAGCCGTGTTCCCAAACTGATGCTCTGCACCCCACAGCTGTTGGGTACGACCAAATCCAAGGGGTTATCCTCGAGAAATCCAGGTACTCCGTTTTCCTCCCTCTACACTTTCGCTGCACTCACACGACACGGCGTAGCTATGTACCCGTGCTCTCTCCTTCAACAGCGTAGCGCAGCACACGTGAGGAGATCATTAGGGGCCCCGCGAACACTCAGAACCAAGATGAGGGTACCCATCGAAATGAAGAAGGGGGGGCACGGAAAAAAAAAAATCTGGCGAGAGAGAGAAGGGCGCTACATCGCTACATAGAGTGATCGACGAGAGTGTGCACACATATCGACGAGTCTCGTTCTCGTTGGATCGACACGGTGGAGGAAGTCTTGAGTTTCCTTGCCGTCGCAATCTCCAAGTCGAAGCAGCCAGAGGTGAGAAACTTCAACCTCTCTTATTTGGTTTGAAATTTGAACCAAAGAGAGAGCCGGCCAAACATCTGCCTCTCTGTTCACTCGTGCTCCTCGCGGAGGGAGTCAGAGAGAGAGAGAGAGAGAGGAAACAAACATGTCGCAAACTCCGTGCACAACTTTGTAGCTAGCGCTTGGGTGGGCACATGGCGAGACCGTAAGCCTATCACGCGACTGTGCTACCGCGCAGCCAGTTTTGTTGTGCATTTGCGAAAGGAAACAGGTGCCCAACACCGCGAAACGTCTACATAGAGCAGTTGCCTCACAGACCCAGCGTCATGCACACATGCTTCTGCTGTGTGCTCGAGCGCTGGCAACACGCGGATAACTATGTAACCCCAAGAACATCACACTCAAGCATCGTCTGTCATTGGCCATTTGGACTAACAGCATAGGGTTACAGGCTACAGGTGCTGCTGCTGTACCGTGCACAGCAGTCTACAGCAGCAGCGTGGGAACAGGGTGTGATTCTTGAGGCAGACCTACAGCGTGGTCTGCTACGGCACCCAGCAAAGGAAGACGCTTCAGCGGGGGTGTATTCTCGCAATCTTGCTCAATATTGCTACAACACGAACGCACAAGCGTGGCAGGGCCCCAGAAAGTATACTGCTCCCATTGTTAGATTCCAGTCTTGCAGGTGAAAACTGAAAGTCTTCATTGCCCCTTGGGGAGTCCATCCTCGCCTGGTGTCTAATGAAATGAAAGAATGAAAGTGGGTTGGTCTTTTACCACCTGTCCCCCCGCTTGATGGACAGATTGTGCTGAGTACCAGGCGTAAACATCCACTAGTCGAAGCATACTAGTTGTTGAGAGCACTGGTAGCAATAGTTGGTCGTGAAAACATACGCGATACCTCATTGTATATCCTCGCTGCAACTGAGCTCAAATGCAGTCGGGAAGTGAATGTGTGTTTGTTTCCGAGAGAAACACAAAAAACGCGGATGGGCGGCAGGGTAATTCGAGCGGACTGTACTTTCGGGTACTGCAAACGTGTACGGAGTATGATCAAATGCCAAAGGCATACCTGAAACTTCAGAATATTCTGTCACAAAGCGTGTTGACCTCTTGTTCTCGGTGTGTCAGGCATCAACGTGTCGGCGTCGATTTGCATCCAAACATTTAGCGAGCAAATAATACTTTGGTTGGTTTCCGTGTCCTCTTGTCTCCAACGTGTGCTGGCGTGCTGGGAGGACGGGTTGAACCGAATTCCATATAGTCTGCGGTTTAACCTCGGGCCCGAGAGTGAATCTAAGCTGAGACGAGCTGAAAGATATAGGTCTTCACCTCTTAGCTCCATTGTTTCGCAGGCCATCGAAGCAAGAAAAACATAAGTAGCCGTGCCGGAGCCCCATCTCCCCCCTCCTCTCCGTTGTTTGCTCGTGCCGTGCTCGGTGTTTTCGAATACATGGGGCGCCGCTCATGGAATCCTGACAATATTTCGTCGTCGGGTGCCTGCTGCGTGCCGCCGCTCGCTCCAACGAGTGCCTGCCACGGAAGAATACATGTATGTATTTCTTGAGGAACAACGCTCTTATCTTTCGGGCGCGGAATACGTTTCATCATCTGGCACGTAGCGGGCTCAACATTGTCCCCGGAGGACCCCCCTTGAATTCTCATTGAGCGTGGCCATCAGACGGGGTTTGCACAATGGGCGCCAACAACTGACCTTGCCCCAACCCCGGTCGTTGTTAACCTCCGATTCCTCTGACAGGGGTGCGATTCCTGACCTGGAACGATGATACAAGAAGGGGCGCCGGGCCAAACCTTGCCGCACCGGTGCAACATGTGCTGGAATGTGAGACAACAATGGAACGCTCTTCTCCCTCATTCATGTCCGGAACACCTTGTTGCATAGGTCCTTTGGGATACTTCCTGCACACGCAGTGTGGAATACCAAGATGATTCATGAAATCACTTGAGGTTGCTGGAGAAATCTATGAACAGTATTGTACCTTGGTTAAATTGGCAGCGGAAAATATGGAGTTCGATCGGCAAGAAGAGGAGGATCCCGGCTTCGGTGGTAGCATCAAGCAAGCGTGATCGCGTGACACCACATGGAATGAATCGTATCAGAGGAAATTCTAGTCGAGTGAACAGTGCAAGTTCTATAGCCAGCGTATCGACGAAACTCACTCCACCTGCGTGTCTGTCTATGCCTTGTCCTCAGGGAAGGTGCATCGGGTTGTGCTACCACAGCAAGGAGGCGTTTCAGGTTTCATCACAACAGAGACCATCTGCATGTCACTGCACCCGCCGGGGGTCCATATTCGTGCAGGAACTAGTGCGTTCACGAATCAATCTGCTCAACACTCCTAGATTAGGTTACTCATTCTTTCAATTCCCCCCCCCCATCACTCCACCTATCGCTCGACTGATGTTCGCCAAACCCAATCCACCCTTAATTCACTCAGCCGCACCCCGTCGCACTTCCCCGCCAGGAGGGGACCGGCTCGTGCTATGTGACTCGGTGTGGGCATCTGTTCTGCGAGTCCTGCGCCTTCCGCCACTTCGGCCAGAGCCAGGCTTGCCCAACCTGTGGCCACGGCCTCGACGAGTCAGAAATTCAGGACCTCACGTTGGGCCTCGAGCCGAGCTCCCTCCGTAGGATTGTGTTCGAGGTACCGTACTCGTTTCGCGTCCTTTGAGGTGTTGCAGGACATCATGCGATCGTTCAGAGAGATTTTTTGCCTCGTCGTGCTGCGATCTGGCGGTAGTCGTGGGTGTTAAACCTAGGACTGCCTACGCAAAGGAACGTTAGTAGTTTACCACGAAGAAAGACAAGACAGGGGGCACGCACAACCTAACCCTAACCCTCACCTTCGCCGATTCTTACTTTTACCCAGCATTTTTGCTTACTTTGGGAAACCTGGGTAGACTACCGGGAACCTATTTGGACACGGAGTACTAACAGTTGGCGCATGAGAGAGTGAAAACAGTTCTAGATAATGGCGCGACCCGGTTTTTCGGTGTGCATTCCCATTGACAGTTGAACATCGAACCTCACCCCACGGTTAGTGCCTGCCATTGTTTGTGCCCGTTCTCGTGCGCGCCGGTTTCACACACGAGATATCCGTGGAGCTGCCCTGTGTCGAAGGCCTTGCACGATACCGCTGGGCCCCGCCTCGTGACCGAAATTTGTCGATCTCACAATGAATTCCTAGAGGTTTCTTCTCTCAACATGCGAAGTGTTTGGTGCCGTCGCGGATGTGTGCCTCGCGATATTCTCACGTTTTTGACATGAGGTATCGAAGAGGACCGAAGCGTTATCGTTGACACGGTATTCCACATGGTGCGTGCGATCCTGCCTAAACAAATCCCTGCCGAATTGTGTGTCGTGGAGGAGTGGAGGAGGAGTGAAAATCCCAATATCTGCTCATGAGAAGACGACGACAGCAGTATCACCGGATACGGCATTGTACGATCCTATACGACATACATGTCGAAGCGTGAGTCACAGAGGAGTAAATATACCAACATCTGCTCAGACGAAAGGCGACTGCAGTGTTGTCGCCGGGCGCAGCATTTTACACTGTCCGATCCTACATACCTTCCCTCCCGAAATACGTCAGTCGTGGAGGAGTGAAAATTCCAACATGTGCTCAGACGGAAGACGACCGCAGTGTTTCGCCGGACCCGGTCTTCTTCATTTGCGATCCTATTCCGCCATCCTATTCCTACCCACCGAAATGTGCTGCATACAGGAGTGAACATTCCAACATCTGCTCGGAGGACCTCGTGATTAACGCGCTATCATTCCACAACGGCACCGCTGTACTGCCGTGTTTTTTTCCGGCGATACACTCGAATCCACACCACCACCAGGAGGCCCTGAAGGAGCCCAACCACCACAGCTCTTCGCAGGCGGCCCTCCGGACGGCCGAGCTCGCCAACGAGACTCTGGGTTTCTTGTTCTCCCAGATGCTCCTGGAGAACCAGAGGGGGGCCGAGGCCACCTCCGTGCTCAAGGGTGAAGTGGCCAAGCTGAAGCACGAGCAAGGACGCGTGACCATGCAGGTGAACGACGCCGCCGGGCGCAGCAGGTGGAACGGGCGATGAAGAACGGTCTACCACGCATGATATCATGGGACTACCACGCATGATATCATGGGACGGGAGCTGTAACATGTGGTGGGGCAAGAGCTGCCGGCAAGATGCGACCAGCGGCATTGTTTATTTCCCCTCTGACGAGTGGTGCTCCTATTCGGCACCTCATCAAACAATTTCGGGTGGGGAGACGCACTCCACGTAAACCTATTGGCCGCTTTCTATTTCACCGAAAGATCACCGAAACAGGGCTACACGCTGTCTCCAAAAAGTATATGATTGCACCCAAACAAATGCCACCCCCCTACCGTAATATCAGCCGGCATCAGGTGGAACAGACGGTGACGAGCGGTCTACCATGCACGACAAAATATCAGGAGCATGAACATGGGGTAGTGGAGCCAATAAGTGCCGTCATGGTGCTACAATCGGCTTTTCTTATTTCCCCTTTGACGGCCATCGACGTAGACCCTGTTCCTTGGTTCCGATCGCCTGCTGCACAGCGCAAGTAGGCGATTACTCGTTTGTCTGTAACGGAAAGGCGTTGCTGTCCTGTGGATGCAGATGAGAAACCAGAACGCCGCGGCCGACCAGAAGCACCGGGAGATGGAGCACAAGCTCCGCGTGAGGACGAAGGAGCTCGTCGATCTGCAGGTACAACTACAGTGCCACTCTGTTCACTCGGCAAAGAACGAATAGAAAACGTCACGATGGTCAGTTCATTGAGGTCGTGCCTCGGCGCGATCGGAAGCTTGGTGGCGCGTGTGAATAAATGGGTCTCGAGGATGTGAAACCGGGCACAGGCGATTGTCAGGCCGACTTGTCCTTGGTATCAATATCGACTGCAAAGAAACATGAACGGCAGCAGTCTCTCTCCAAAGCGTGCCATGGACTGCTCTTGTATCACGCACTCAAAGCAAAAAGGCACCATACGACACAAAAATGCGCAAAATACCCGCATGCAACGTGCCGTGGTGCCCCCAACGTTTCCCTTCTACCCCGGTTCGGAAAGAAACGAAACCCACACGTGTATCCATTCAAAGTAGGAGATAGTACTTTTCCTCTTTCGCCCATGAACAATGGTCAAGTCTCCTGGGTCTCGTCAAAGCGACACCTTGTAGTCAACGCTCGATTGGCCTCACCTCTGGCGCAGCAATAGGGGTCTCCACCTTGGTAGGCTAACCCTATCCCTATCCCCAACCCTAACCCTGAGTCGTGATGCACGGGGAGCCCCCTATGTATGCGCCCTCTCTATGAACGTAACGTTGAATACGCGTGGCCTTCTTTGATATTGCGGCGAATGTTGAGAGACTAAGGCTTGAACACGGCAATAACACGTCTTAGGACATTAACATACAGTCACAGAAAGACGACCCGTTGAGATAATATTGCAGTGGAAGGGGTAGCGTTGAAGTCTTTGTACGGGCGAGAGAAAAAACGGCTGGGCGATCTTTATCCTGTTTTAAGCGTAAACACTGAATCGTTGTCACGTGCAGGAGGCGTACAAGGAGAAGAACAGAAAGTGCCAGGCTTGGGAGAAGGCCTACGCAAACCTTCGCTCTCAGGTATCGCTGTTGTTGTCGCTTCTGTTGTTGTAGATATCGTTGAAGGTTGATGCCGTCGTGGCTGTTGCTACTGACTGTATTGTAATGGTTCGGAGGAGGTTTCTCTTACTGTTGGTGCATTCGGTTCTTTAGGCGCTTCACCTATTTGCATGCGTTGTTGTATTCGTTTTCCCGGTGGATGCCCTCCCTTTCCCCTTTTGATCGACCGGGATGTACTTCTTCGCGCTTTGCTGTCTGCTGGTTGTCAAAGCATTATCCCCTGCATTGAGGAACTAGAACCGTCGTACAAAGCATACCCCCAGTCTCTAATTTTTTATGATCCCTCAGTCGTCCCTTTCGCTCGAACACCTCGCCCGATGAAGTACTGGAAGAAGACTGATTGGCGCTTGGGAAGGATAGGTAGCCTCCAAACATCGCCGACCTTCGTCTAACCCCTCCACAAGCCATGGATACAAGAAGCAGTGCGTCCGGATTCACCCAACCGGCCTGCTAACTTGCAACCTTCCCGACGACTTCCCTCCCTCCCTAATAGTCGGTGTACCCACCCCGCCCCCCGATTTTCTTGCAAACGCATGCGTTTATTTCACCCGTGCGTTGACTATCGCTCCGAGGAAGACCACCGACCCCAGCAGGGGCGGCGGTTTCACACCTCCCGAATCTCCGCGAGCAGGCGCCATGCGCGGCCCTTCCGGCTCGTTCAACGGCGGACAGGGAGGTAAGGGCGCGGCTTGACTAGAGGTTCCAACGCAATCCCTGCCTTCCGTCTCCGACAGGAGACCGAACGCATTGCGCAGAGTTGCCGAAAAGGAAGGATCTGTAGCCTCAATGTAATAGGCACGTGGTGGATGCATCCTAAACGTCCGCGGTACCTGTTTCTGGGCGAGCTTAACACGTAAAACGCCAGCTCGAACGGAATGATGCTCGGTCAACATATCTCAAGGACCACTATTAGTAAACAACCTAAACCCTGTCAACATAACACGCCCCGCGTCTAGTTGGGGGGAAAGTCCGGGTTCTCTTCCCCTATCCCCCGGGTGTCATTCCCCGCGAAGGATTTCACGCTACAAGTGCAGGGTTATCTAGTGGCGGGAGGTGGAGGTTCACACTGTTGCTTTCGTCGTTCCGCCGTCCAGTGACATGTGGTTCGTGCAAACTCGACCCATATCATGATCAACCCAGCCTTTGCGGCCAACCCTAAGTCAGAGGGTCTGTTTCATTAAAACGGATGAAGGTAAAGGTGAGGGGGGGTACATCATGGCAGCATCTAGCGCTTGCAGTATCTACAGCCTCAGCCTCAGCAGCGGATGACACAGTAGCTTCAGTAAGATCGGTAACGACAACAATGAAAGCACCGGTAACAGCAGCACTAGCAGCACCAGCAGCAGCACCAGCAGTAACTATGGCGACCAAAGTAACACCGTGTATTTCATCAGGATCGATGCAGCACCAAGGCCCTCCTCGGAGAGCCGCTAGTCCGGGTGGCGGCGGCGGAGGTGGCGGTGGTCTCGGCGTTGCGGGCATGCCGCGCCCTGGTGATCGCATCGGAACCAACTCTCCTCACTCAAGCAACAGGTGCGGTGCGATGGGATTACTTTGTTATTTTGCCCTGTAAACAGGTTGAATAGATACGGTAGGGTGGGTGGGTCTCGCGAGTGCTGCGTGCTGCTGCTTCTATTGATGGTGGTGTTTGCGGGAGAGTCAAAACAAGGAAAGGACTTGTCAGGCAATCAAAATCAACCAGCGTCATTGGATGTGTTGCTTGAAGAGACCCGCACGCGAGGTCGGGATATTGAGCAGCACGTAAAATACCACCGCAACCCTCCCACCCCCGTCTGTACTCTTACAACCCGTTCAAACCAAAACATTTCAGGGGTGTAGCGGGCTACGCAGCGGGCGGTGGTCGCAGTTCCAGGCCGTCCTGGCCGATACCCCGTCCGAACACGTCCCGCGGCGGCAGCGGAAACGGCGCCACCGGCGACCGCGTTAGCCCGATGCTGCGGCCGCGCGACGGGCAGGGCCATTCGTCCCACTCCGTCACCCCATCACCGACCTTTTCCGCCCAGCAGGGGATGAGTGTGAGTGTGAGTGTGAGTGTGAGTGTGAGTGTGAGTGTGAGTGTGTGAGTGTGTGTGTGTGTGTGTGTGTGTTTGGACGTGCGTTTCGAACCCTGCGGGGCGGTGTTTGTTGTTCTATTTGTACAAGCCGGCTGACCAAATATTTTGATGTCAGCGTCATTGCGGTTGAAAACACAAGGTGATTCTAAATAAAGGCCATGATCTGCGGACTCGTGAGAGGGCGTCATGGGGGAGGATATGAGTGTGCGTGCGGTTCGGAAGCCTAGGGGCGGTGTGCGTGTGTGTGTGTGTGGAGTGCGTGTCGACAACCAGCGACCGTCCCGCGAACTCGCTGAGCAATGAGTATACGTCGATGTGTGCTACGCGCTTGTCTGCGGGGGCATCCTCGGTCGTGGTGTGTTTGAGATACTCGCGATTTCGTAATGAAGGGTCGGATCACGTCCAGATGCGGCCGACCAGCCGCAGCGCGTACGGAGGGGGTTGCCATCGATCTGTAAGAGTATATTTTGCCTCCCTTGATTTATTTAGGTTCGTCCTGGTATCGCACGCTAGTTCAAGATAATGTTCTATGGGGCATCTGGCCATCGCCCTCATGAGGTCTAGGAGATCGCTTTCGTTAACTGTGATACTTCGCTTCCAAGACTTCTCGACGTCTTTCAAGGACTCTCCTGTGTAGGTAGGAGGGCTCTCCTGTGTAGGTACCAGCTTTCGATTGGTTGGCCTGCAAGTTATACACCGGCGGTTTTAGTCCGTTGTGGTACATGGTCGCGTTAGCGATACTGTCTGTCACGTCTCCATGGCTAAGGAGACTTTCAGCGCCAATTGGCACTTACCGCTTTATCTTCCAGGTCGGATTCCTCGCAACTGCATCTGCATGGTTCTCGCGCCTCACCTTTCATGTGTCGCTCCGCCGTCCGGCGATCACAAAGACAGCCCATCGGCAACCCTTCCCCCTCTCCCTCCCTCCCCGTCCTTTTGCACTTTCCGTTTCGTCCTCCCCCCGGGTATATTTTACACGTATTTCCTGGATCACTCTCGATGACGTACCAATAAACAGGGCGGCCGGTTCGCCCCCAAGAGGCCGGAGACCCCGATGGAGGTCCGTGGCTACTACTCCCGCAACGCCTCCCCCGGCAACCGGTCGAGCGGAGCCGGCGGCGGGGTTGGCGCAAGAAGCAGCAGCTTCTTTCCGTCCTCCAAAGCCGGATTGTTCTAGGCGGAAAGGTGGCGGAAAAACCTGAGGAAAGGCGGCGGAATATGTGGGCTAGAGCAACGAAGGGGGCTGCAGGGAAGCTTGGAGGTTGTGTTGCTTCCCTGGAATATTCAAGAACCGCGCCTAGTCGAGAGGTGTTCGAGTTGCTCTCGGCCAATGCGAGGTTCTGTGTGGATGCTCATCGTGCCCGCGTCGACGCCGGCGCGGCGGAAAGCTTGAGTTGATGCGCCACGAGAGGGACTCGTTTGCTCACTCTTTCTCTCTCTCTGGTGTGTCATGGTTTACGTGCCTTCGCGCTTGTTGCGTTCGATTGCCGAGTGGGGGGTGACGGGGCATGGAAATGCGGCGAGGTCTCTACCTCCCGAGGAAACACGGTGCCCCTCGTTAACACGTCAGTCCTGACGCGAGCGACAAAGAGAGAACCCGACACCCACAGTAGTCATCGCAGGGACACAACGATGGCACGGGTTGGGACAAAAAGAACATGGCAGGTGTGCGTCGCACTGCCGTCGCCGTCACGTTGGCCCGGGTGGTTAGACTGGCCTTGGAGGGTGCCCTGAATTCGAGTGACGAAAGCTCTGAAGGAAGGTTGCAGAAGCTATCGCGGCGAAGTAGGAGATGAACGTACTTGGCCGGAACCCGGGCGGTCTTTCGGTTCTTTGATGACCCTGTGGTGGCACAACGGTGCCCAAAACCCGAAAATTGTCGACCAGTCGTTATGGCGCGATGACGAGGCTTGTCTTGCCCCCTAGGCTTAGTTTTATCGGATTCGCAATAGCGCTCTGCAAGGAAGAGACTGCGGTCGAGATGTAGCGGGGACGAGAATCCGCGGAAGCCTTCAAGGCGAGGAGTAGTGTTGGCAGGGGGCGTCACCCCTACCCAGGGCAGCCGTGCTGCTTGGGGGCATGTGTGGAGGAGGGAATCATCTTGTCCGCGCGACAATGTTGGCGGTAACGATTATGAGAGGGCTGAAAAGATGAGTTGTCATCAACGACCAACCATCGATATACATGCCCAAATCCTACCTCTGCTTGCGTGTTTTTCGGGGCAGGGTGAGTCAGCCCTAGGGGCAGGTGTTGGTGGCGCGATTGGGGGGCATCTGGAGTTGCATGGCATGTTGTTTCTTCACAGCATCCCGTCTGGGTGGATATGTTGACCCCGATGGCGAGAGAACTCCGGTTTCTCAGTCGGCAATCGTCGGTTGGGTGGTTGGGAAGGGAGCCCGCGATGTTTCCGTTGTGTTGCTGTCGGAAGTGGTGACTCGCGCCCGTCCACGGCTGTGACAGCAGCAAGAGAGTGAGTCCGCCGCCTTGCGTTGTTCTAGAGCTTGTGATGGGTGCATGCGCTTGTTCATTGTGCTTGCCGAAGAGACCGGCGGGGTGAAACATCTACCTGCGGAGACGAAGGCTCGTCAGCGGGCGAGGAGTGAGTGCATACGGTGGTTTGTCGCTGATACGGTGGGGGTTGCGTGGTCGGGATGTACCTTAGAATAGAAGGGGGGCCCGGAGAAAATAAAACGCCGTGTGTACACCAGGAAAACACCTCAAAAACGGGTGGGGTAGGGAAAGAAGTTCAGCGTAGGGTTGGGGAACGTCGCTCTAAAGACTACTAGGACGAAGAAATGTGGCCGGCGAGGTAGAAGGCCTCGATGAGTTTTCTAGAACACAACAACATTGGAAGTTGTTGCGCTGCTTGGTTGGCCAGCTGGCGGACCACGTTTCGGGTCGAAGTCGAGAAGCGATTGGGTGGACTGGATGCGCAGAGACTGGGACGGGCTGACGGGCGAGGAGACAGTTGCAAGCTCTCCGCGCGTCGCGCGAGCTTGGTTTGGGTACGAAGAAAGGTTGCCTGAGTAGTGGTGCCCACATGGATGGATGCTGTGCGTCTCAGCTGTCACAGCTTGCCGATGGGCGTGAATATGCTATGTAGGGGTACACGAAACAGAAACTGATTGTGGACTCGTGTGAAAACGGGGGCAAACATTTGATGTCGGTGCAGTATCGTGTATACATACCTGGCCATGTTTTCTCTGCCTTGATCTCGTTGTGGGTATGATGGTATCTTGTCTCTCCAACCGGAGCTACATCGGTGGTACTTACATCCGGCCCACGTTGAGCATTACCGGTGGTGCTTGGTTGGCGTTCTGTGTGTTTCTGAATAGCGTTTGTTGGCGGTCATGGAGGTACTGGTAGGTTGGGTTGATGGATACATAGCGGCGGGACGGAATGGTGCAGGAAGGATCGGAGGGAAATATGGCAGACGGGGGGGAGTGCGATGGGTCTGCGATTCACGATGACGGCAACAACAGCCGGTCACGTGGACCCTTCGCAGCCTTAAAGCCACGACTTCCTTGCATCGCACTTCAACTCGTAGACGCTATTTGAAATGTCGAGTGCGTTGCGTTCAGCGATGTTGACCGTTGAGCAGAGCTTCAGACGGGCAGAGGCTACCCTTGTTATGTACCCGTCCCGATGTATGTCGCCGTAGCGTAGGAAACTCCGCAGATACTCGCACGAAACACGCAGGACGTGAGCGGATGAAAGATGGCGCAGGATAAACTGGACTATGATATTGAAGCCTACGGGAAGTGTACCATATTGGCGTGCCAAGCATCCCTACCTTTCGCCCAGAGCATCCCGTGTTCTCTAGCAGGCCTCTAGGTCCGATCTAGCATCGACTCACAGAACCCACATTTTAGACTACGAACATAGCGTCCTTCTGGCACAGGAGTGAGGTATACCCCCACGACCACGTTCGGCAAAGTACGGCAACAACCAACTTCCCGGAGCCTGCCTCGCCGTCCTCGTCGCCGACACGTGGCACGACAGTCCAGTCGATCTGCTTGACGCGGGAGATACACAGTACGTAGTTTGCACTCTGGGAAAGGTATCTTGGGAAGATACGAAATTGAGGCTGAAAAAGTGGGGCCTTCGATCTATTGTCTTATGTAGCCAATTTAGATCTCGAAGAGACGGAATCAATCAAGGGTAACACATACCCCGTTTATGTCATGTAGCCGTGTTTGACGGGGGGGGGGAACTGGGTGCGATATGCGTACATGTACCCTACAGCAAGCACAGAATCAAAGGAGAACACCCTGTGAATTTCCACCAAACACAATGTACAATTCGAATGTACCAAGAGGGAGAAAATCGAAGCCAGAACCAACGGTGGTGAGAAATTTCACCAGCCTGCACGGCACGCAGCACACGAGTGCTCAACACATAACATTATCTGTCAATATTTGTGGTCGAGGTGCCCTGTACCAACGGTTGTCTGCCGGCGGATAAGCCTTTTGCAGGTAACTTCCGGACAGTCTGTATGAAGTGCAGACCGAAGCCTGTGGAGGCAGTGGCCGAAGTCGATTTTGGGTCTTGTGCTTTTCAATTTCTCCACTTTACAGATTATTTGCAGAGTTGAGATGTTGATACTCGAAGTACTGTAGTTGGGAGTGAGCCTGGTGGGGCTCGCCACGCCTCGGGATCTCGCTACGATTACAATCTCCTACGATCAATAGTTAACATATTCACGAGCTCCTCACTATAACTCGCCGCTACATGTTGCGTTCTATCAAACGCCACTTATCACCCATCACACACTTGAACCAAGACAAATACTTCATTCCCCTTTTTTTCTATTTCACCAGTACGACCAAACGAATCCATCTCTATCGAAGAAAACAGTCTACCATCACACCGAACCAACACAACTTGATGTCTTTCGTACACTATGTACTTCATAACAGACTGTTTTTACCAATACCGATTTTTGTACAACAAAAGCAACCGATTTCAACCCCGCCCATGCGTGACCCCATTTTCACTCTACCTTCATTTCATTCACCAGAATCACTTTTCACCTCCCCCAGCAAGACGGATGCACCGTATTTCACACCGCATCTACTTTTCATTGCATACGCCAATCACACAGCTACAAACATCCTACAGCGGCCATGTGCTGTATTTCAACACAGTCACGCAGTGTGACACTTTAGCTCTCTAGGGAGGAGGGCCGCTCATCTTGACACCATGTCCGACAAAACAGCGCCTTGCCAAGGTACCACCTCTCTACGCGCCATAACGAATGAAAGTTCAAGCAATAGGTACACCATCGCTGACCGACCAGGCATACATCAGCCCCCGGAGAGAAAAGCTAAAAGTAGCTCGACCTGGGGCTTCTGGTAGATTGCCTCTCTGGAAACTACTCGACAATTTCCCAAGAACCAAGTGTACGGGAAGCAACGGAGAGGCTGCGCCTGGAGCTCTTGGCACCGGGCCAACGACCAACACACGGAGTTATCGTGTCCTCGGCCCACCCAATCAAGGAGGAGAGGAGGAGATGGGATGACGTACGGCGCTATTTGGTGGTTGTTCGCGTTTCGCAGACAAGTCCAGACTCGAGAATGAATGTCGCTCGAGCGGCAACACTCAAGGCCGAGGCCAGCCCCTGTGCCCCCACCGTGGGTCAACCGCATGGAGGCTCCACACACACCATGCTCGATTGGGCGGCAGGAGTGCCACGTTCATAAACCTGCAAAGGGATCAAAATGATGGCGTTGACGCATACGGAGTGTTTATTTTCGTAGTTTTGATGGCGGCTCCTGGTGCATTTTGATCATCGTCGTTGTTTCGCAAAAGCTACACGTGCCACGTGTCGGTGTTCGTTTTTCGTCAAGGTGTGTAGTAGGGTATCGTTCATTAGTGCCACCAGAGGTACATTACATCTGGCAACACTCTGTTTTCTACGGTATCTTCCGGACAAACGCTCCTAAGGCAACCATCCATTGCGTCTTGTACCAGATCCCGATCTCGACCCCTAACCCTGCTGCTTATTGCGCGCTTCCAGCGAGTTCGCACGTTTCCTGCGCATCCGTTTCCTTGCCGAGCCGTGAGGAACTCTAGTAGACTATGTCAAATCCGGAATGGATGCTGGGCTTGGGTGGTGGGTTCGACGGCCATGTCAAACAGGCCAATATAATCGCTTCTTGCCTGTAAGGATTGGGA